CCCCGTATTATGTCTGTGAGAGTCGCCCTGCTGGCGCATGCAGTTGCATCTCATTTCCTTGCTGTAACATGCATGCCAAAATCACACCAGGCGTCCCTGTTTTCCCGATGATGGCCATTTGTTTATTTATTAACCCTCACCTGAGGATACTTTTCCCGTTGCTTTTTCGAAAGAGACGGAGGGAGAGAGAGAGAGAGAGAAACTTCAATGTGAGAGAGACGCACCGATTGGCTGCCTCCCGACTGGGGCCAGGATGGAGCCTGCAACCGAGCTACCTGCCCTTGGCCAGAATCGAACCCGGGACCGTTCAGTCCGCGGGCCGACGCTCTAACCGCTGAGCCACACGGGCCAGGGCCCGATGACGGCCGTTTAGATCGTTTCCGGGCCTTGCTGTCACGGGCCCGTCTGCAGTGGCCATTCCGACACGCCTGCTCGCGTCCGCGTGTAGGAGTTTCCCTGGGCACATACACCTAGGAATGGAATCCTGAGGTCGTGGGGCACCTTTTAACTAGATAGCTTCAGGTTGCTCTCCCAAGCCGCTGGGCTGGTTCCCGTGCTCACAGTAGGTATTCCCTGCACTATCCTGGCCTCCCGCCTCTCGGTGTCGTCAGACTTTAAAATGTTTCCAATCTGATGGGTCGGGATGACACTGCATGGTGCTTTAAATGTGAATCTCTCTGATTAGCAGGGACGTTGAACACTTTTTTTTTTTTTAATGTGTTTATTGATTTTAGAAGAAGGGAGAGGGAGAGAGAGAGAGAGAGAAACATCAATGATGAGAGTCATTGATCAACTGCCTCCTGCACACCCCTTATTGGGGACATCGAGCCCACAACCTGGGCATGTGCCCCGACCGGGACTCGAACCGCGATCTCCTGGACCGTAGGTCGATGCTCAACCACTGAGCCACACCGGCCGGGCGGGAGTTGAATAACTTTTTGCAAGTTTAGTGGTTGTCCGCGTGGCCACTCCAGGGAATTCTAGTTCATAAAGGACTCTTTCTGCAAGGCCCCTTTGAAACCCTCCCCCTCCACGGAGATCTTCCAGATCTCCTCCACCAGGCAGATGGGATCTCCTTTGGATCCCTCTAACCCTTTCTACATCCTGGATTACGCTCACTCTGAATTTCATCTTACAAAGTCATCTGTGTACTTGTCTAAAGGGCAGGGAT